ATGTGATAAACATAAAAATGATAACATTATGCAATTTGTTCTCCTCTATCCTATTATCATTGATTAAATAATTATTAGATATTATAATATAATAATGATATAATATTTATTATTATTATTTGTGCTAGTACTGAGGCTTTAATTCAGGGCCTGGACACTGTCCCTAGATTCTTTTCTCAAATACAATTTTTTTTTTGGGTCGGCCGTGGGGCTTGAACTCTGGGCCTGGGTGCTGTCCCTCAGCTCTTCAGCTCAAGGCGAGCGCTCTACCACTTGAGCTACAGAGCCACTCCTAGATTCTTTTCTCAAGGCTGACATTCTACCATTTGAACCACAGCTCCACCTCTACCTTTTTGGTGGTTATTTAGAGATAAGACTCTTTACAGATTTTCCTGCCTGGACTGACTTTGAACCTTGAGATCTCATCCTCTAGAGTAGCTAGGATAACAAGTATAAACTACCAGCACCCAGTTGAATTATTTTTCAAAATTTCTACAGGATGTTTCAGACAAGGATGTATCGCCTATCACTTTAATATCATGGGATTTTTTTCCAATAAGTTTTCCATAACAAACATTTCAAGATCAGTGCAACATTATTGCTACAGATTACAATATGTCAGGACTGCTATCTTCTTTTTCTACCTACCTCTTTACCCCTTACTATAAATGTCAAGCACTACATAATAAGTTTCCTATAACCCTTTCAATTTTTCACATAAGCTATCCTTTGTGACCACTTGCCCCCTAGTGGCAAGAACCTGAGACAACAATTTCTACTGAGAAAGTTTCTGGTTCCATTCCCATCCAAATCTGGTGTTTTTATGATGTTTAGACACACTCCAGTCATATTCGTGTAAAAAAATAGTACAAAACGTTAGCAGTTTAAAATGACAAACATTTACATGTCTTGAGGGTGAGGACTTTGTGAGTAGGTTAGCTGCCAGCTTGTGGCTGATGGCCTCTCAGAAGCTGCTGACCAAGGAGCAGCTAAGTCTGCAGCCATCAGCCACTGGAAAGCTCAAGTGGACTGCAGCATCTGCTTCTAAGCTCTTGCATAGGTCTGTTGTTAGAAGTCTTTGCTTCCTCCGCATGAGGGTCTCACCATCAGTTTACTTGAAGCATGGTAGCTGGCTTCTATAGTGTTGGCAGAGAGGAAAAGGGAAGAGGGAGTGAAGAAAGAGGGAAGGAAGGAGAAAGACATAAAAGGAAGAGAAAGAGAGAGGGGGGAGAAGAAAAGAAGAGAGGAAGAGAGGAGAGAGCTAGGGATTGAGAGGGAACATCAATATCTTGGTGTTGTCCAGCTCCTAGAGCATAGACTTGGTTTTATAGGACAGTGAATTTTCTTGTTTACTTAAATTATTTTAAGTTATTTTCTATGGCTTGTAATAGAGTAAATGAGTATTTAGATATATCGCTGTATGTAATGCATCTAAATCATACAGAAGTTCTAATTGTAGATGGTATGTGTTTACTAAGGTAAAGAAAAGTCTCAATCCCTTCTACCTCTCCAGGATGCTGTAAGCACAGAGGACTTAGTGCTACTAAGATCAGATCCAAGTTCCTAGGACATCACTCCCATATTGCTTAAGGTAAGGACACTCAATCTGATTGTCTGGTCCCTTGGCTCAATGGACAAGTGTACTTTATATGCATTCAGATATATGTGCTTTCTGGGGAAAATGTGTGTAGAGCTTTATCACATTAGTAAAGTGTGTAATATTTTTTTAATTTAATTT